AATCGTTTGCAAGCTTCGATTGTCAACTTATGAAATCTCTTTATTTAACATTCATTCGTCCACTTCTTGAATTTGCAATTCCAGTTTGGTCTCCTTATATGAAAGGAGATTGTAATGAGATTGAGAAAATACAACACAGAGCAACTAAAATTGTTTCATCAAATCTCAAATATGAAGATCGACTTATTGCTTTAGGCTTAACAACTAGAGTTGCAAAAAAGTTTTTTTCCTTTGGGGTTTTTTTGGGTCAAAAAAACGTGTTTTTTTGACGTTTTTTTGGATTTTTTGGTGTTTTTTTGGTTTTTTTGGTATTGTATTGCTTTTTTTAAACAATTTTTCAGTTTTTTTTTACATAAATTTAGGACTAGTTTTCCTTTAATCTAGTATAAATTTTAGTATTTGGCCATTAAAGGCACAATTAGATGTATAAACACCAGTTTAACAAAAAAATTTTATAAAAAATTTAAATTAGCTTTAAGTTAGTTATATATTTAGGTATACTGTATGAAAATGTTTATTTTCTGTTTTATTGTACTAATAACTGTGGTACTCTCATTATATATAAAAACTATTCTTATTCTATAAAAAAGTTACCATTTTAATTTTGATAATGTAAATACATTAATGTATAACACCATGCAAATTTGATATCAGACTTAAAATGCTCAAAAAAAATAAGCTATCTATCAAGATTATTAACTTAATTAAGCATTTGTATATTATGTAGTAATTAAGTCTTACATTGTTTGTTTGTTATATCAAAAAAAGAGTTATTGCTAGTATGCCCATTAAAAAAAAGCCCTATACTGAACTTAGTTTCAAGGAAAATTTAAAAACTTTTTAATTATTATTATTTACGGAGTTTCTCAGACCCCATTCACCTGATGATTCGTAATTTGTTTATTTGTAATTAATTTTTTAACAGCATTTTTTTTTTCTAATTACATTTATTCATCTAAATATTTTCATATAGCACTATATCAGAACACTTGCAAAATTCTTTAATATGCTCTGTTTTTTAAGTTCAATTTTTAGACATAATCTTATGGCAAAAGAATTGTTTATCTTTTTCCATTTTACTAATTTGGTTCAGAGGTTTAATGGGTGACTAAGGCTTTATTTCTGCCCCCTGTATGGAGAGCCTAATCATAATTCTTTTTGTTCTTCCTGTTGATTACCAACAAGAAAAAAAAATTTACTTAATAATTTAAAGATATCCATTTCTCTTTATATATATATATATATATATATATATATATATATATATATATATATATATATATATATATATATATATATATATATATATATATATATATATATATATGTATGTATGTATATATAGATATTATGGTGCTTTAAAAATCACTACTCAGTGTTAAAGTATTTTTTGTCTTAATCTATTTTTTGTCAGTATTTTTTGTGTTATTCTATTTTTAGATTCTAATTCAGAAAAGATTTATATAAAATTTCTCTTTATTTGAGTAATAAGTTGACTTTTTTAATGTAAACATTTTAGAGACCATTTAAACAATATTAGGGACCTGTTGAATAGAAAATGAGCTTAAGTATGAACTAAATATTGAACAATTAAACTTTAATTAGACTTGAAACTTCAAATTGTGTATCTGGGATTATTAAATCATTTCTTTCTAACTGCTTTATTATCATTTATTTAATCATCGTCAAATGCCTACTTATTTATTTCCAGTAACTTCTGGGGTTAATCTCAAGGTTCTATTCTTGGTCTGTTTTGTTTCTTATCTACATTATTGATCTTCCTGACAACCCTACATCTATAGTAGCTCTTTTTGCTGATGACTAAAGTTTTTACTCCTGTCTTGACAAAAAGTCTTCTCTTTTTGATCACTTAGAATAGGCAGCCAATTTTGTATCTGATCTTACTTCTGTAACAGATTGGGGCTCACATATTTTAGCTTATAAATTTTATTTCTAACTAAACTCAGTTATTTACTGCAAACAACTACCACAATACTGTTGGCATTCCTATATTAATTAATGGTAACCCTCTTACTTAGTTTTCTTTTTTACATCTTCTTGGAATATTATTTGCTACTAACCTTTCATGTACACAAAATATACAATTGATTGCTAAATTAGCATCCCTTTATCATTATCGTTGTTTTCTTGATTCCATTCTCTACCTCTACAAATATCTTTTTGTCCCTGTATGGAATGTTGTTGTCATATTTGGGCTGGTTCTTCTTATGATGCCCTTTTTCTTCTAAACAAGCTCTATCTGCTAAGCTTGAGCCTCTTTCCCATTGTCGTAAAGTTGCATCTCTTTCTCTTTCCTACAAATTCTATCATCGCGGCTGCTCAAAATAGTTATTACCTCTAGTTCCATTAACAAAAACTCATTCTCGACTCTTTATTATGCTAAGTCTCATTCATTAGTTGTTAAATTTTATTAAATATAATAAATGTAAATAAATGTTTATTGTGTCAATATACACTAAAAACAGTAAAGATAAAGTTGAGGAAGATAAAATTATCAAAGAAGTTTTTATACAAGACTGCTTCAACCGTGATAACCTTTAACCGTGTTAATATACCAAAACAAAAATTAATTCAGTAAATTTCAGTATTTATTGTCCTATTTAAATCAGAAATTAAAATATGAATTAAGATATTGCCATTAAAGTTAAATTTAGTAACTTAAACAATGAATTTTTGATTATTTCCCAAAAAAACCAAAAAAACGGACCCCTATGTTTTTTTTCCAAAAAAACGACCAAAAAAAACAAAAAAACAAGAACCAAAAAAATGCCTCACATCTCTATTAACAACCTTAACTGAGAAAAGAAAAAGGGGAGATTTGATAGCATTATACAATCTTATGCATGGTATTGACAAAAAAAACATAAGAAAGTCTTTTCCTTTTGTTAAAAATTCTTTAAGAGGGCATTGTTTTAAATACCACAAAGAACTCGCTAAAAATCCTTCTAGGGAACATTTTCTTTTTAACAGAATTGCGAATACATGGAATTTACTTCCGATTGAAATTGTAACAGCAAAGTTTGTTAATTGTTTTAAAAGAGGTCTTGATTGCTGGCTGAACAGCAATCAAGCATAACTGCTGTCATAGTGTGTGCGACATCACACTCATTGGATTTGTCCAGTACAGCATTAACTACTATTACTATTACTACTATCTAAAGGACTTTAACAGTGATCGAATATTTTAAATAAAAGAAATTGTTAAATAAGATATAAAATACTTTTAAAATTTTTTATTTAAATCTTCTTTAAAACTTTATAAAATCTTATTTAAACCTCATTTAATATTTTTTTTATAAATTTAACGCTTGTAACACTTAAGCTGATACGAAGATAAAATTACAAGACGGAGGAGTTAATATATAAAAACTAATTTAAACTTTTTAATAGTTACTTTAAAACAAAAAAAAAGAAACTCTAATAACATATTTTTAAAAAATATACTTACCTATATAGCTTAAGCATAGTTTTTCATTAGTTGATTTTTAAATTACCGCGAAAGTTTTTCGGACCTTTAATAATAATAATTTTTGTCTTGCAATTTTTTTTTATTTATAATTCTTAAATTACATATTATTAATTATTGTTTAAAAAAACAATAACTTATAATATATAAATTTTGTCTGTTATTTTTTTTTGCAGTTGTTTTTTTTTTGTTTTGTTTTGCTTTTTTATAAATTTTGGCAATATCATAAACCTGACCGTTTAGTTAAAACAGTGTTTACGGTTTTTAAAAAAACTAAGAATTTAATGACCACAGATATTTCCGGATATTGCAATTCGCGATCACTTAATTCGAGCCCTGCCACACTTCTTCATTAATTTCTTAACAAACAATTTTATTCTTCAAAATGCAACATTTATACATTAAAAAAAGTAAAAATTAATATAATCTATAATTTATTAATTATTAAAATTGAAACATTTTAACATTTTTAAAATTTTGTGAAATTAATTACTGAATAAAGAAACTTAACTAAAACTAATGCTTATTTCAATGTGAAAGACAATATATTTTTTAAATTATTATATCTTTTCTAATTTTATCAAGCTGTCAACCAGATTTTTTATGCATTACTATTAAACCATCGTCACGATAAAGGCCTAAATCATTAATTTGATTATTTTACTTCATAAAAGTAAAGTATATAATCCGACAAGTTCACAAATTTATGATCCATCTTATCTGCCCATTGTTACATCAAATCAGTCATGTTTTTTTGTTTTTTTTTTCCAAGTTTCCTTATTAAAAATAAAGTAAGATTTTGTTTAAGTTTTAAATTTATTTCATTCATTTTTATATTTTAAGTTTAAAATTTATTTCATTCATTTTTATATTTTAAGTTTAAAATTTATTTCATTCATTTTTATATTTTAAAAATTTTAATTGTAGTATAACAGTTTAACAACAATAGTTTGGTTTGTGAAAAAAGATCCTAATAATCTTGTTAAAAATTTTAATAATTTTAATAGTTTTCTTATCAGCATCAGAATTTTTGAAAAAATCAATTCAATGTTTGGAATGTCATTTGAGTTTCTGATTCAGGTGCCTACTTATTATTACTCAATACATACTCCTGAATACATACATACTCCTGAATACATACATACTCCTGAATAAATACGTACTCCTGAATACACAGTTTTCCTTGATGTAAAAGTTAAATGAGGAGTAAATTCATAATGTCTTGCTAACAAAGCAAACCCTCTGATGTATAGTAACCCTTTGATGTAATTAGATATGTGGTAATGATAAGCAAACTCATCATTATCGCATATCTTATTTTAAATTGGTATTTAATATATCTAATAAATTCATCATAATTTCATTTACTATTTGAGAAGATGGGTAAAATTTAATGATAAGAAAAAAGAGAGAATATATAACAAGCACAAAAATTGTTTAAGTAAACATTTTTTTTTTATCAGTACCTGTTGTTATTTATTTAATCCTATCTATGAATTGAATTTTATTTCAGTTTTGTACGGTGGTGCAGGTCTTGAAGTGAAGAAATATGACTGTAATGATTCTGAAGTTTGTAATCAAATATTTTTGATATCTGCAAGCATTAACAATCTAATTTTGGCAGCTGAAAAGTTTGAACTACTCAAAAGAGATCAATTTGGAAAATTTACTCCATTTACAGTAGACAATAGATATGAATTTGAAAACTTTGAAGATAAAAATGAAAATTTTTTTACTTCTTCTGAAAAGCAATGGTTAATAAACTCATTACTTTCAAGTGTAGTTTGCAATGATGACAAAATAAAAAATGTTCCTGGTTTGCCAAAAATAAAGGTTTTTAATGATAGGCCTCTTTGTAAGTATAGGATTTTTCTTTCATTTTTTTAATTTCTTAAAAATGTTAAAAGCTATCATTTTTCATTTTAAGATTTAATTTTATAATACAAAAGCACATATACTTTTCATATGTAATTTCATAATACAAATGCACCAATTTTTATTGTATAAATTTTATGTGTTTTTACCGTTAATTTGTTTGAAATAATTTTTAGTTTGTTGTGTTTATTTCAACATAAAGTGTAGTAAGAAGTAAATAAAGATGAGGCAGTTTGTGCTGAATATCTCAAAGTATATATGTATAAAATACTGTGTTCTGTTATTATTTTTGAATTTTTTTATTTTTGCTCAAGAAATTTTACAATACTACTCTAAGGACTTGACAGTTTCAAAAACTACCTCATTTATTTAATTTAATTCAAAATACCTCATTTATTCAATTTAATTCAAAATTGTTGACTTTTGGAATTATTGATTTTTAGAGTTAAAATAAAAGCTGTCACCCCAAATTCCTGGAAAAAATATTAATCGTATATCATTAATTTATCTTTACTGAGGATACTTTACTGAACTGGTTAACTGAAAAAATTTATGCATTCTGTAATACTTGATCAAAGTACTATTTTCTGGATTTTTTTTTTTTTTTTTAGATTTTTCACTGGATTTTAAAGATGTTTTAAAAATCGAAGATTTTTAGAACATCTTTAAAAGATAAATTCAAAGAAAATTGTTCAAAAAACTTTTATGACTATTTCTAGAACAAAGTTTCGATATTGATAGCAAAAGCATGGAAGCCTGAGATTGCCAAGTGTTTAGTTAGTGAGTATTTTATCCAGTAGATTTAGATAGGAAAGTAAAAAAAATTTAAATACAAATTTTACTCTAAATTTTATGACAATTTAAAAACTTTATTTTTCTAATGTTTTTATAGTTTGATCAGATGTGATAATATCTGGAATATCATTGATGTAAATTAAAAAGAACTTAGGGCCAAGGATTAAACCTTGAGGAACCCCTGAAGTTACAGAAAATGAAGAAGAGTGCTGTCCATCGAGGACAACCTTTATACTATGATTGGAAAGGAAGGATTCAATAATTTTAAAGCTTATGGAGAAAACCAGCATTCCAAACTTTATCAAAAGCTTTAGAGATGTAAAGAGCGATAGAATGCAACTAGTGGAATCAAGAGATGATATTGATGAAAAGTTCTTAGCAAACTGTTCGGCTTTGTCTTTACATGAGGTGACAAAGTCTGAACCATACAAGAGAAGTGGAGTAATTGATTTACCCTTATTATTGATACTGTTAAAGATTCTCCAGAAGTCACGTGAGCCTAATTTTTGTGATGAAATATGAGATTTCATGACCTGAAAATAACAGGTTTTGAAGTTAGACAAAACTTTTTTACAATGGTTTCTAGCAATAGCAAACAGATAGATATGGAAGTAAAGGTTTTGATTGGAAATTGCAGCAGCTCAATGTGAGGAAAACTATGTAGAAGAGTGAGGCTTGGCTTTTAATCGTCAAAAAGGAATAAAAGATTCCATGCCAGCCTGAATCCACAAAGTTATGTAAGAAGCGCATTTGTCAGTAGGAAGATAAAAGATTTCTACCCAAGAGCCATCACAAAGAAAATCACGGAAAGAGTTCCAGTCAGCTTTGAATTAGTTGTAAGAGGTACGATGATGAGGGGGATTTTGATGATGAAGGAGAATGACATAATAGTTTTAGAAAGATCAAACTGTGATCAGAAGCACCTAAAGGTGAATGTGAAGAAACTGAACACTGACTTGGATCAGAAACAAGACATAAGTTGAGTAGAGAAGATAAATGATTGGGGTTGTCCGGAAAGCGAGTTGGAAATTTGACTATTTGAGTTAGAGATTGAGAAAGGCAAAAGTTGTGGGCCTAAATGTCTGCAGAGTCATTGACACAAGACCCAAGCCTTTCAGTGCGATGAGCATTTTTTGTCACCGGCAACAACAATATTGGCTGATGGACAAAGAGAGAGGGCTTGGTCAATTTAATCAGAAATAAAATCGAAAAGAATGTTGTCTTAAGATGAAGGAGAGTGATATAGAACAAAGAGAAAGGCAGTAGAGTGAAATGGTGCTAATCAAAAACAAAAGAATAGTCTGTGGATTCAAACCTAGTTTCCCCACAAATGAGTAAATTCTTACAAATGTAAATACCCAGGCTAAGCATGTGACTATTTAAGTCTTGACAAATTAAAGGAAGATAACCATCAACACTAAAATCGCAAGATGAGACTACTGAATCCAAGTTAGTCTCATAAAGAGTAAGTAGGTCTGGTGAACTTTGCAAGAGATAAGACTCAACAGAAGAAAATTTACTTCAGAGACTACAAATATTAGTGAATAATAGGTTTAGAGAACTTGGTGATGGTGATGGTTTTTTGTGTTTTATTGTTTTTGGTACTTTAGTCATTATAAATTTGTTAAAGAACTTGACTCAAAGATGAGATTGTACTCATCACACTAATAGTCCAAGCAATTGCCTCATTACTATTAAAAAATCCTAAGCCATAACAAAGGGATCCAAATGTGACTAACAGGGACACTATCTATGCACACTATGGCACTGTTAATATTCTGATATTTTTTAGCTATTGATGGAATTAGCTTCTCTGAAAGCTACCTCAGAGTTTCAGAAATCTGACTACCAGCTGGCCTCAGAACCATAAAACTGAGTTTTAGAGCTGTACACTCATTAGGAGATAACGGAATGAGTTGCCTAGTCATAAAGACAGAGACACAACCAAAACCCATGTATTGAGTCAAGAAGATCCAGCATTCAACATTCTAAACTGGAAACAATGTATTTAAAATACATCTGTGCCAGCCTGATAGATGAAAGAGTATGTGGCTGGTCAACAGATAGAATCTGTTTACCCCTTAAGTCTTTACCTAGGAGGCCTTCTACAAGACAGTAGCCGGATATGTTTAAAGTCTGCCCAAGATAAGTATTTTTATCGAGACACCATCTCTAGCCTTTACTCTACCATGAGCCCCAAGCAGGGGGAGTTTTAAGTCAGAGTTAACTTCTCTTAGCTTTTGCATATCCTACAAGGCAGCAGGCCATGAAGCAGGTTGTACTGGGTTATATTTTACTAGTAGCAGGATAACCTGACCTGACATTAGTAGGATAACCTGACCTCTTTTAATCATTAAACTTTCAATCTAATTTCCTAATTTTATTCCACAATTCAATTTTTTGTATTTAGTTAATCCTCCAGGAGTAAATATTGGCAAAGTGTGTATTTTAGATTGCCAGTATGTAATATTTGTTGACTATATTGTAAGAAATTTGCTTAACAAATTTATTATGGCTAGTTAAGTGCTAATAAATATCTATCAACTTATGCTCCTATTGATAAAACCAAAATGATAGGGTATCTGAAATTGTAGAGAGAAGTAAATTACTTTTATTGGTATTCTTTAGTGAATTTTACTTGAGGTTTCATTAATTTTTTCTAATTTATTCTAGGATAATCAAGTTGATAAACTGTCTGATAAAAGCCAAACAAAGTTGGGATTTCAAAAAAGTTTTTGAAAATTTACCCATTACCTAGTTAATGATTTCCTAACACAAATAAATATTTTATAATAAAATAGAGTTCAAAGATTGTCAATGTAATTTAAAATTTTCGAAAGAAAATTTTAAATTACATTGAAAAAACATTTTACATGTTTTAAAAGTAAGCCATTATGCTAGCAATTTGATATTCTTCTTGCAAAAATAATTGAGCAATTATGAAAGATACCCAAAGCAAAAAAATTGTATTTTTTTGCTTTAGTCTTCATTAGTCATTTACTTGCAAAGTCCGATTAAAAAAAAAAGGGCAACAGCTTCCCTTAAAAACTTTGATAACTGAAAAGAATTTTATTGGATCTCTTTTTGACTACACATACTTAAAATTATTTTCAAAAAACATCTTTTTTTTCAATTTATTAAAAAAAAAAAAAATCAATACTTATTGACATTATGACAAAGTTAACAAATTATTTAAGGGAAGGTGCTCTTCTGATCATAACAATAAGATTACCTAAAAACAATTTCAATTTCTTTTTCTTTTTTATTAGCTGTTAAATTTATTCAACTGCTAATTCCTCATTATTTGATTTTTTTTTACCTAAAAAGCCCTGAAAAGATTTTTAGTTAGAAGATGAAATAAACTAAGTTTTGTTTTATTTTCTTTTTAAAATAAAAGTAAAACTTTATATAAGTTTCATTTTTATATATAAAGTATTAACAGTTGTTTTTGTTTTACTATCTATCGTTTAAAGGAATAGCAGTGCTCTAATCAATTTATACAATATTGTTTGTATAACTTGATTTGTTATCGCAGTTTGTATATCTCATCTCTATTTTTTTTTTTTTTTTAAAAGTTATGACCTTTAAAATAAAAATATTTTGTCATAGCTTGTTCTAATATTTTTACATTTTTTTTATATTTCTTGACCTTTGCAGTGCTTCAACGATCAATGCACAAAATTGTCCAAATTTATCCTCTGCATCACATTGAAAGCCTTAAAAGTTTAGAAAATCAATGGTATCTGGGATGGGAACAACCAATCAGTAAGTAAGTAAGAGAGCTAGCAATCAAACATATTATAAAATTTATTTTGAAAAAAATTAAAGTGTATGAAAACAGATTTTAAATAATTTAATTTACAGTTTGAATTTTTTTTAGATGCAATAAAAAGTTATTTTGGAGAATCTATTGCATTGTATTTTACATTTCTTGGTTTTTATACAAAGTTTTTACTGCCTACAGCTGTTATTGGAATACTCCATTACTTTTTCATTGTTGATGAAAATCACTCAGAAAATGTTTGGTTTGCAGTTTTAAATGTGGTTTGGGCTACTGTGTTCTTAGAATTGTGGAAAAGAAAATGTTCAGAGTCTGCATTTAATTGGGGTCGTCTTTCTAACAGAATAAAAGGTTAGTATCATTTTTAGTTTAATAATAACATAATTTATATTTAATAAATTTTTAGTTTAATAATAACATGATTTATATTTAATAAATTTTTAGTTTAATAATAACATGATTTATATTAATAAATTTTTAGTTTAATAATAACATGATTTATATTAATAAATTTTATTATTTAAATGATTTAATATTATATCTTTTAAAGAAAATGTAAGAAAATGTAGTAAATGGCAATTTTTATTTCATGTTTTGTTTTTATAGATGATTTTGGATATAATGAGAAACCACGTGCATCCTTTAAAGGTAAATTGCGAACAAGTCCAATAACTGGAATGCAAGAACTATATTACCCCACATGGAAAAATCAAATGAAATTGTATTTCATTTCATATCCACTCCTTTTAATTTCTCTGTTGTTAGTTACTGTTGGAATGCTTTTCTATTTTCACTTAAATGAAAAAGTTCAAAAGATCTATGTTAATCAAACTGGTGTTTGGGTGATGATAGCTAAGCGAGCACCAAAAGTTGCTTATGCTATTTTGGTCTGGATTTGTAGCAATATTTACGGAAAAGTTGCAGTTATCTTAAACGATTGGGGTATTTATCTTTTGTTATGATTACAAAATATTTTATGAATAATTAAAATTTTTAAATTTTTTTTAAACATAAATAATGCATAACTTTCTATTTTTGTATAGAGCTTTTAAATTAAGTTTTAAGAAAAACTTTTAAATTGTCACATTGACAATATATGTCAAATATTTGCATAATAAACTATTATTTTTTTTAGTCTAATTTGTTGTTTTGTTTTTTACTTTTACAGAAAACCATCGTGTTCAATCATCATACAACAATCATTTGATTGTTAAACTTGTTTTTGTATGTAAACCTAATATTTTACTTTTAAGTTTATTTTTCATAATAAATTCTTAGAGTTTGTTGATTCTATGATTTTATAGTTATTTTTTTTAGATGTTATAATTTGTTATTTTACATACTGTTTTATATATATTTTATGTTATATGTAAGTTTGTATGAATTTTTTTTAGTTTAACTTTGTTAACAGCTTTCTATCATTATTTTACATCGCATTTTATCTTTGTGATATGGCAATGCTTCGACAGGTAAACTTCATCACAATTATCAATATTATACATTATTTGTATTACTAATAAAGTTTATTACAGTACACTGCTTCAATTTTTAAAGTTAAACTAAAAGGTTTTTTAACCATTCTGGTTTCTTACACAAGATATGTTAAAAGGTACCAATATTTTGGGTGTGCATGAAATAGATTCTATTTTTGGAATTGAATAAAGTAGAGATTTTATTTTATGGGTTCTGTGATTATGTAAAGGTGTTATTCCTATCTAGATGATTAGTTGAATATTTAGTTTTTAAGTAATTTTTACATGGTATTAAATTCTTTTGTTTTTTTAATTGGTTTTTTATTTTTTTTTGACAACTTTTTTTACATTTTTACAACATTTTTACAAATATTTTTCAGTTTTTATTGCTTTTTTATATTAATTTGATAGTTTTGATATTTACATTCTTAATTAAGTAAGTTACAGCTGGAAGATTCATGGTGTTTACTCAGCTCATATTAAAGTAAGTTACAGCTGGAAGATCCATTGTGTTTACTCAGCTCAGATGTTTCAAATCTTTTTATAGTTTGGTTAATATTTTTAATATCACAGGTTTACTGACTAAAATTTTCCAAAAGTTTGTTTTTTCTTACTAGAAACATGATGAAGTGTGACTGTACGATATGAAATTTCCAACTTAGACAGGTCTTGTGAGTTGTATATTCCATCAAATAATGATCCAGATTGAAGATTTCTGTGATTAAATTCGTAAATACCTACTGCTTACTCAAGAGGTACCTTCATTCCAAAACAAGCTTCTCTCACAAAAGTGTAAATATATAAATGAAAAAAATTTAAACAAACTTACTGCATACCCTTTTTGGATTTCCTTAACATCCTCTACTGTTCATTAATATCTCCTTTATTTTCTTTACAGTAACAGCAAGCATTCTTTCCTAAATGTTGCATTAAAATTAGTGTTATTTACAAAAATACTTTAAATAATAAATTAAAAAAGAAATCAACTTTTTAATTTCTTAAATTAGGGTTTCACAATTATATAAAATAATAGTAAATAACTGACTTTTCCTTAATATTTTTAATTTTAGAACGAAAAGCATATTTATTTGTCTCTAGAATGGAAAGAATATTTTTTTGTCTTTAGAATGAAAAGAATATTTATTTGTCTCTAGAATGGAAAGAATATTTATTTGTCTTAAGAATCAATAGAATATTTATTTGTCTTAAGAATGGAAAAAATATTTATTTGCTTTAAAAAATAGAAAGAATATTTATTTGTCTCTAGAATGGAAAGAATATTTATTTGCTTTAAAAAATAGAAAGAATATTTATTTGTCTTAAGAATGGAAAAAATATTTATTTGTCTCTAGAATGGAAAGAATATTTATTTGCTTTAAAAAATAGAAAGAATATTTATTTGTCTTAAGAATGGAAAAAATATTTATTTGTCTCTAGAATGGAAAGAATATTTATTTGCTTTAAAAAATAGAAAGAATATTTATTTGTCTTAAGAATAGAAAGAATATTTATTTGTCTTTAAAGTATCAAAAGTATTAATTTAAGATATAGAAGTAAGATTAATTGATTGATTCTGAAAGATGTTTGTAGAAACATTTCAATATTATTTATTATTAATATAATAATATTTAATATTAATATAGAAATGTTTCAATATTATTTATTATTAATATAAATTCATAATAAAACATAAAAATTAAAGCATTATATTCAATACAATCCAAAGTATACATGTCTAGTTAAAATTCATGTATAACTGTAATATTGTTATCTCCAACTCAAACCTTATCTCAGTTATTATACTATCTATTGCAGACTTAAGAAGACATTTTTTTAATATATACTTAAATAATGTATCTACAGATGTTTCAAGTTTATGCACATCTTTACAGTAAAGAATCAAAGGAAGGGCTTTACCATCTAAAAAAGATTTATTTAAGGCAAATGTTCTATTCACTAAATTTTGACTTTAATGAAAATTCTGATGTTTTAAAAATATCTTTCAGTACAGCAGACAAAAGTTGATAGGAGCTTTCAGGATCATGAGAAAGTATAAAGATGTATGTTTTGCACTGTTGCAAATTTTATCCAAAGATATTTGATACCTTTACCTAACTTTTTGGCAGCAATCTGTGCAAAAAAGTGCATTATATGCACTTCAATGTTGCTGGTACTAAAGCTCATACCTTTTTTCTTTTGTTCCCTCACTCATTAACTTTTAAACTACTTTCCAGATAGTTATAATCACTAACTTTTTTTACCTACTTACTTTACCTACTTACCTTCCTTTACTCTAAGGTCTTCATACTCTGGAGACAAAACTGTGTTTTTTCTGATTATTGTTTAATGAGTCTCTTTGTAATTATACAAATCTTCTGCTTCTTCTCAAATAATCATTTATTACTGACCTTGCATAGAATTCTCTTATTGTTTTGCTTTTTTGTATGGAATACTGTTGTCATGCTTTACTATAAACTCAAAGCTTCCTGTAACTTTAATCTTAAATTTATGAAAAAGGTGTTTTATTTAATTAACAGCTTGTGAGCGAGTGTTTTGTTTAATTCATAACAGCTTGTGGGCTAGGGTTTTATTTAATTCATAATAGCTTGCGGGCAAGTAAAAATGGTTTAGACTCTGGTTCAATGGTGGAATAAAACTTTTTATTAAGAGAAAAGTTGAAAACAGACAAATCAAAAAGTACTTGCTATAGTTGCCTTACCAGATACTGACAAGAATGATTTTTATGACATTGTAACATAAAGTTTCTTTTTAGCAACTTGCAACATTGTTAATCATTCAACAGCTGATTCAGCAAGTTCAGGAATCTTTTATACCTTACCTGAAGTACAAACGTCAATCTGTTAAAATAAATAAGAATGGTAATTGTGTTCGTTTTAAGCGAATTCGTGATACAAAGAATCAAGTCATTAAAGAAGGAAACTTGCCTCCATATAATGTAAGTTCTAAATATAACCTTCTTTTTATATTTTTCTTTTTAAATAAACATAGAAAGTGAAAATAAATTTAAATATAATAGTGAAAGTAAAAGTTATTATAGCTTTTTCCAATTAAAGTTAAACATAGAAAGTGAATATAAATTTAAAAATAATAGTGAAAGTAAAAGTTATTATAGCTTTTTCCATTTAAAGTTAAACATAGAAAGTGAAAGTAAATTTAAAAATAATAGTGAAAGTAAAAGTTATTATTCCAATTAAAGTTAAAAGTATTTTAATTTTTTATTTATTTATGTTAGTTTATTTAATAGTAAATTTATTTAATATGTTTTGATCTTTATCAACTGAACATTGGTTTTTAATGTTGTTGTTTTTTTGTTTTGTTTTTTTACTTTCTATAATATATTGCTTTGTTCTTTATTTGTTTTTATCCGCTATATGTTTTTGTTTATGTTCAAATGCAATGCTTTAGAGTACCTACAATGACTATGTTGAGCTGTTTTTGCAATTTGGTTATGTTTTTATGTTTTCTGCGGCATATCCACTAGCTGGATTTTGGGCATTTTTAAATAACATTGTGGAAATACGCACTGATGCTTTTAAGCTTTCTAAACTTCACCAAAGACCTTTTATTGAGCAAGCAGCCTCCATTGGTGCCTGGCAAGTAAGAATGATTGTAGGGAAATGAGTGCATATGTAGATCACTGTTTACATTTGTTATTTTTTAATTACAATATTAAAAGATTTTTTTACATATTTGTTTTATGTAATTATTATTTTGATTTTAGTTTTTACCTGCTGGAGTTCAAAGTAGTTTACAGAAAGTGAATAATGTACTAACAGTATACATGATCTAACTAGTGTCTTAAATTTTATATATTTAGTTTGCTTTGCTAATTTAAGTATAGGTAAAGAATATAGATCAAAAGATTTTGATATGGTTTATTAACAGTGTTATTTGCTTCAAACACAAAAGTTTACTACACCTTTCTTAAAACCTTTTTTATTTTGAAAATTTGAGTATTCTTTGGAGTATTTTTTGTGGTTTCAGCTTTAAGTAAAAATTTGACTATAACAATATTAAATATCAAATAGCCATGCTGTATATTAAATAAAAAACCAATCATTTTCAGTTTTACTGTAAACCAATATTACAAAGCCACTACACAGTTGTTGGAAAAGATAAAATGAATAAATAAAAAAGTAGACAAAAAAAGTGATAAAATAGACAATAAAAAGTTTATGATAAAATAATAATAGAAAAGTGATAAAGTAAACAAAAAAAGTTTATGATAAAACAATAATAGAAATGATCATGAGATTTTTGAATAATTCTTAGTAATATTTATTTATTTTAGTAATATTTATTTATTTTAGTAATATTTATTTATTTTAGTAATATTTATTTATTTTAGTAATATTTATTTATTTTAGTAATATTTATTTATTTTAGTAATATTTATTTATTTTCAGGCATCCAAAAATTGTATGTTTTTTTTTGTTTTTTTTTTTATATTGGCTTTTTAATTGTAATGTTTTCAGTTCTAAATTATAATATATAAACTATAACATAATCACCTGATTTTGTAAGATAATAACATAATCACCTAATCTAATTTTGTAAAACCACAAAACATCCAACAACTTTTTATATTGTTTGATTTTTATACTTTATAGTATAAATGGTGATAAAAAGATTAGCTATGTGGTTATCTACCTAACATATCGTCCCCTCAGTATTATCTTGTTCTATCTACAAATCTAATAAAAAAAATGTTCTATCTAATATATAATATAAATACAAAAAGTATATATATATATAAATAAATACAATGTTCTACCTTATATAATATAATATATTATATTACATAGAACATTTTATTTATTTATATATAATTTTTTTTTTGTATTTATTTTATATATTAAATAGAACATTTTATTTATTACGTTTGTAGATAGAACGTTAGTAGATAGAACGTTAGTAGATTTAGATCTGAGGGGGTGATATGTTACAAAAGACATTCGAAAAAAAAATTTCTAATTGAATATGTTCATTGATTGCATTCTTTACTCTTTGAATTATTTTTTTTAAGAAATTCACATTTAATTTTAAGAAATAGTAAATGGTAAGATAAATATAGATTAAAAAAAAGAATAAAAGTAAATTTTTTTTTCTTTTTCTTTTTATCCATGGTGTAAAATTTGCATATTTAGTTTGCATTTGAAGTGATGAGTATTATTTCTGTGATTACCAATTGTGGAATTATAGCTCTTTCTAAAAGTACACAAGATTGGTTAATGAACGATCTTGGACCTTTGAAATATACTTTAATATTTGTTGCTATTGAGGTATTTATTTGAGTAATATACTATCTATATTTAGCAGTTAAATAAGAATAAATTTGGTAATAAAGTATTTTTACTTTTTTTTTTTCATGCAATCTGTTAATGTTTAATCTAATAATAAATTAATATTATTTGTTTATAGCACATGTTGATTATTTTGAAGATTTTTATTGCATATATTATTCCCGATGTACCTGGCTTTGTTTCACAACAACTTGCTCAAGCAGAGTTTAAAATGCAGCAAACATTAAAAGTAAGAGACTGATTTTGGAAATAAAGTGTTAATGAACTATTGCAGTAATTGCATAAAATAAAATAAAAATAGTATAAATGATATTTATGTTAATTAAATTAAATATAACAAGTACACCTACAGAATAGCAATAAATTTATAATTTATACTTCACCAACTGATGCTTTTTGTATATATTAAAACAAATATAATACTACATGCATATATTAATTGACCTTTAGAAATTGCCAGCATTTTACTATTTTATTTTATTTTATAGGAGAAACAGCATCAGTTGTGTACATTGGAAAAGCAAGAAATTATTTTTAAATAGAAACAAGAAGTGCATTAATATTTAGGACCTTCTCGGACCTATTGTAATTTTCTACTGTAATTTGTTTTTTTATTATTATTTTTATTGTTATTATTATTATTGCTATTATTGTTATTGTTGTTATTATTTTTATTGCTATTATCATTATTATTATTGTTATTATTATTATTGATTTATAATGATAGCCTTTGATACTCGTAACGTTGAGTCTTAGGTCTTAAAATAATTTTAGCATTCAGTTTTAGGTCTTAGATAAAAGTTTCAGCGTTAAATTTTCTATTTTTTTTTTGATAAGCATTGGTGTTTTTTACTATCTTTTTTTATTTTTCTAATTTTATGTAATTTAATTAATCATGAATGTAAATACTTTATTAAAAAAAACCATATTTATTATTTTGTTGCAGATAAACACAGTCAATTGTTTTTGGCATTAGTTGTTTTAGTTTGTATTTGGTATCTAATGTTTTCTAATAAAAAATATGAAAACTTAATATATATATTCGATAGATACAGTTATTATCAGGTCTATTTCTTACATAATAACAAAATACCACGGCGACATAACTTGATGTATTCTATAACAATAATAACTCACTTAAATACATTATATATTTTATTTAATATTTAATACATTAATTTTAATACATTATATAATTTTTTGTAATAATTTATAATTTTGAATAATCCCAAAGCTCGATTGAATATATAAGAAAAATTGACGAAGTTGAAAAGATAAAAATGGATAATAATTTTTCATTTAAAAAAAACGCTGAAAAGTTAAAAAAAGAAATAATGATAATAAAGAAATAACTGAAAAATTAAAAATATTAAAAGTAAAATAAAAAAAAATAAAAAAACTGTTATAAGCCAAAATCACACAATTAATGGAAAGTTAAAGCTGACGATTTAAACGTAATCAAGCACGATTTAAGTTTTTTTACTGGGTTCGAATCATATAACCTTTTTAAGGAAAATATAAATCAACAAGAGTAATTATAGACTGTACTGAATAATTTTAAAACCGGTTTGCAACTTTTTTTTTTCTATCTGCAAACAAAAAACAGGAAAAGGATTAATTGAAATAGCATTAAATGAAGCCATACCTTTTGCTTCTGATTTTATATTGTTGTCGATTTTTTTAGGCAAAAAATTACTTAAGATAGAAAATCTACTGAAATTAAGTGACTGTAATGGCAGATTATGGTTTTGATACTGCTGCTGATTTATCAGAAAACGTTTCATTAAACATACCATCATTTCTAAATGCCTAGATTTACTGTTGATCTTATTTATGTAGAATAGCCTTACAGCATATAAAGAACTATCATATTTTACAATCACCTTTTAAGTTGTCCATGGCGCCAGTAAATGTTAAAACTTAAGTAATTTGTTGTTATTTAGCTAAGTTTTTTTCCATTACTTGTTTTATACAAATAAAATAAATATTAATCGAAACAACGAAATTTTAGCGTGCAATGGTGGGAAGAACAGTACTTGTCCATATTTTGTTATTTTCACTTTTTTTTCATAGTTTTATTTAACTTATGTCGATCTCTCTATGTTCTACAAAAATAATATTAGTTCATCTCTTTTTCATTATTTTTTGCCAAAAGTAAATTGATAAAAAGTTTATAAACCATAACTGTTTAAAACTTAAACATTGATTATCTCAAAATGAAAATATACTAGTACTGTTTTCCTTTTCACCGATTCAATTCAAAGTAAAACTTTGTTGATTTAGAAAATTTTTCCCACTGTTTTTTAAAAAATTTAGTATTTTTAAGAAATATCTTTTTCAGTAAAGACTATAAAATTTAAAGCTTCAATTTCTATCTTCGCACGTAACACCTCGGCATTGATAAAAATAAACACGGTTTTGTTCAAGCATTGTTTTATCATAAACAACAACAGTAAAAAAATATTTTATCATAGCAAACTTAACTATAGTTCAAAATTTTAGAATAAGGTTATGAATTCAATTATTGTTTTATAGGTCACTTGATTTTAATAGCCATAACTTTTTTTCAATCAGGCTTCCCTAAAAGTCTCTATTACCTGACAAAAGTTGTTTGAAACTTTTTCAAATCACTTTTTTCAAAAGAAACATTAGAAAATTGAATTGCCTCTAAGATTTTGTCTTTAGCTGGAACATGCCATTGCATTAACACTTCTTTGTGTATTTTATTATAGTGAGATATTCGCACCAATATCGCAAAAATGCGCGATTGTTGTAAAAACAAAACTAATCAGAGAAAATATATTGCGATTCCAATTAAAGTAAATTAAAATAATTTAAAAAGAAAGAAAGTAAACAAGATCTTATTTAAAATTATTACGAAGCTTTCTATTCTTTTTAAAACTATTATGGAGCGTATTTAAAATCTCAAAAATTAAAACTTGAAAATTATCTTCTCTACTTTACGCAGAAACCTGGTTAATATCTATTAAAATGCTGGTTGAGTTTTAAAAATGGTTAAAATGTTTAAAAAAAACCTTAGATCAATATCAATAACATTCTAAACTGATTTCATAGCGAAGAACTAGTAGCAAAAACATTTACAAAATGTATGCAGACGACACTAAAATCATCAGCGTTGTTAACACTGCAAAACAAAAACTTCGTCTTCAAGCTGACATTATTAATATTGTTAATTGGATGCGGGAATGGAATTATGGAAATTATTATAAAAAAATGTAAGCTAATGCACTTTAACCAACCCACATTGAATGCCTTGCCTTGCCAGACAATGATTGTTTCAATGCTGCTATACGAATTGGCTATGCTAGTTTATGATGTGTTACGGTTTATGTATTGTTCCGTTTAACTTAAAGTAATAATATTACTGTATTTGTTATGATAGTGGTTATTCTTTTTCGATAAATACTAAAACTCATTGTGATTATTTCTTATAGAGAAAATGTTCCATTTTGGCTTATTTGATACTAATTCAAGTTAACTATATCGCGTCATTGATGTAGATGATGGCATCGGTAAATTGGTGTTGCATCTGTAGTGGTTGAAGCTGAAAAAATTTTTAACCTTTAATTTACCTTGACAGTGGTTGAATCTAAAATATTCCTTAGTCTTTAACTTACCTTGACTATTATTGTTTTTATTTGGTGGTAAAATGCAATTATGCGGTTAAGGTGGTACTACCCTGCAAATTTTATTTTCCAAAATAAGATCTTTTTCTTAGTTTGATAAACATTTTTCAATAGTAGTTATAAAACTGAATATAAAAAACACCATTTTTTTACTTATTTGTCAAAAAAAAATGCTAAATCAGCAAAAAAAAGCAAAAAACTAGCAGTTACAAGAATATAAATAACTTGAGTAATATTCGAGATAAAAGCTTTAAATTTAACAAGAATATAGTTAAATGGTTGGTGGATGGCTCTTAGTAGATTTTTTTAAAAATACAGAGCCAAAGTAAAATGGCAGATATTAACCTGTAAAAATCATAAAAAATGGTCCGTGGGGTATAAAAAATTTTAAACTCTGGTCAAAATAAAAAATATTATTCTACTTCCAGTCCTTTCTATAATATCAATGAACAAACTGTGAAAACTTCAAATAAAAACAGTAAATAGTTTCTGAGATATTAATATTCTAGTTTACAAATAATTGAAAAATATTATACTGAGATAAAAACTGAGTGATAAAACTTTTGGATTTTAAAGATAAAGTTGCAATTTTGAGCAAGTCGAGCAATCTGTAAGGGAAAAACATCGATATAAACAAGGATTTCTGTTCTGAAACAATGCAAATCCGGAAAGGTTTGAGGGAAAAAATGAAAATCGAACGAGCAGCTGGTAAGTTTGCATACATATCTTATGATAAATTGATAATTCGCGATTGGGTTGCAAAGAAAAGCAAAAATTCATCTTCATAATATTTTTCATAAATTAACGGAATTTCGTTTTTACTATTACTTATTGTAATTAAACTGTTTTTATAATGGAGGAAAATTTCGTAATTAAATTTTCGGATGAAAATGACATTCTCGGTGATTATGACACCGAATCAAATTATCTTAATCTCAAAATGTTAGAAAGTAAATATTATTCCGTTGCTGAATGTTCGCAACATCTTAAACAAAATAAAAGCACTTTTTCAATTTTAAATATCAATATTCAAAATTTGAATAAAAACATTGAAAATTTGAAAATATTATTAAATGAACTTAAACACGATTATAAAATTATATGTCTGACGGAAACTTGGTGTAAAAGTGGTGAAACAAATTATGAATTTGATCTAGTTAATTACGCATCGATTCACCAACCACGTGAATTTAGTGTAGGTGGGGGCGTTAGTATTTTTTTCCACGATTCACTTAATTATATTTTACGTAACAACTTCTGTGTTAACGAAACAGATTGTGAATCATTATGCATTGAATTAGTAAATAAAACTGAAAAAAACATAATTATAAATAATATTTATAGACCACCATCTGGTAACATGAAAAAGTTTAAAACTCATCTTAAAACATTTCTAAACAAAATTAAAAATTTCAAGAAACATATTTATTTGGTCGGGGATTTTAACATCAACCTAATCAACTATGCTACTAATAATAATGCTAAGAATTTTATAAATACTCTTTTAGAAAATAACTTTATTCCAACAATAAACAAATCAACTAGAGTTACAAAAAAGTCTTCTTTTCTACTTGATAACATCATAACTAACAGTTTTTATAATAGTCCTCTTTTCACAAGTATAATTCAGACTGATTTATCGGATCATTTTCCAACATTCTTAGCAACCAATAACATTTTAATTAACAGTATTGCTATAAAATCCACAATATTTCGGCGACAGATCAATGAAAACTCCTAAAGCATTTTAAATGCTGTTTAAAAAATTATGTTGATTGGAATTTAATTTTGCAATCAAGTGATGCTAACAATGCTTATAACTTGTTTCTTGGTCAATTTTGCAAGCAATATGAAATAGCGTTTCCAGAAAAAGAAATAACCATAAATAAAAAATCACTTCAAAGTCCCTGGATGTCAATAGGCTTACTAAAATCTTCAAAAAAGAAAGAAAAATTATATATAAAGTATCTTAAAAAAAATCTTATAAAAATAAAATAACTTATAAAAATTACAAAAATATATTCGAAAAAAAAGATACTCAAAAAAGCTTTATTATGCTCAGTTATTAAAAAAAACTAAACACTAAAAAAGTATGGAATGTAATTAAGGATTTAATTGGAAAAAATAATTACAAAAAAAGCACTCTGCCAAAAAATCTTTTAATTAATGGAAAATTAGTTTATGATAAATCTATTATAGCTGAAGAACTAAACAATTACTTTGTTAATATTGGTCCAAAATTGGCTGCTAAAATTCCATCTAACTTCACTCCTTTTGATTCATGCTTAAAAACTTATAAAAAACTTATGGACGAAAC